TCATCATCAAGGGATCGTTGGCAAACCGAGTCCAGGTGCCGATTGGTTACACTCATGAAATTCCGGCGTCCATGTCGTTCGAAGAGGCGGCTAGTATGCCGGTGGTTTACTCCACGGCAATCTACTCCCTGTTCAACATTGGCAATCTTCAAAAGGGCCAGAGGGTATTGATTCACTCGGCAGCCGGAGGCGTGGGTATCGCTTGCATCCAGCTTGCGCTGTACACCGAAGCAGAGATATTTGTCACGGTCGGCACCGACGAGAAGCGACAGTATCTGCACGAGGCGTTCGGCATTCCATTCGACCGCATGTTCACTTCCCGGAGTACTGCATTTGCTGCGGAGATCATGAAAGTCACGAATGGCGAGGGTATCGATGTTATTGTGAACTCACTGACGGGCGAGTTGCTCGATGCTACCTGGCGAATCTGTGCCGACGGAGGCACGATGGTCGAAATCGGCAAGCGGGACATCGTCGAGCGCAATTATCTCTCGATGGAGCCGTTCGATCGCGGCTGTTCTTACCGGGCCGTCGATCTCTCTCATGCGAAGATCATGCGTGATGGAGTGCATTTCAAGTAAGCCGTTCCCAAGATAAACCATTGACCATACCTAACCACCCCCTACAGGCTCATGAAGCGCATCTTCGAACTCATCGTCGGAGGACATATCACTCCCATCACACGCATTACGCCGTTTTCGATGACCCAGATCCCCGAGGCATTCGCCTATCTCCGGAGCGGCAAGCACATCGGCAAGATCGTCATCAGCGACGGTGCAGCGACAGCAGACGTAGCAGTGCCCGTCCGCCGGTTGCAGCACAACGTGACCATCACCGACACCTCGGCCTTCCTCATCGTCGGCGGCCTCAAAGGCCTCTGCGGCAGCTTTGCCATGCGCCTTGCCTACCGCGGGGTGCGCCACATCGTGATCATGACCCGCAGCGGCTGCCGCGACCCACGCTCGCAGGCCGTGATCGCGCAATGCCGCTCACTGGGCTGCGAGATCTACGACTGCCGCGGGGACGTGGCGCGCATCGTAGACGTGCGACGGGCCTTCACGCGCGCCCCCTACCCAATTCAAGGAGTCATCCACGGCGCAATGGTCCTCCGCGACCGGCCATACGAGACGATGACGGTCCGGGAATTCCACCAAGTGATTGAAGCCAAGGTGCACGGCGCATGGAACCTGCACAGCGTGGCGACCGAGAAACGCCTCCCGCTGGACTTCTTCCTGTGTTTGTCCAGCATCTCCAGCGTGGTCGGCAGCAAGGGCCAGGCCAACTACGCCGCGGCCAACAGCTTCCTCGACTCCTTCGCCGCGTACCGCCGCTCCCTCGGCGCCCAGTGCCTGACGGTCAACCTCGGCGTGATCGAGGACGTGGGCGTCATCGCCGAGTCAGACGCCCTCTCGCAGCGCTACCAGCGCTCCATCGAGACCACCGCCATCCCCGAGAGCGCCCTGCACGCGATCCTTGATGCGGCACTGTGCTGCCAGGCCAGCATCACCACTGACCCCAACGACCCACCGATCACGCAGATGATCACCGGCCTCGCCCTCCCGCAAGACCCCGAGCAGTCCATGCTGCGCTTCGATCCGCGGTTCCGCACGCTCTTCGCCGTCAACGGCGCCGAGTCATCCTCTACCGCGGGTGGATCCGAGAATAAGACCGACCCCCTTGCGCGCGCGGTGCAGCAATTCCACAGAATGTTCCAGGCAGACAAAGAGATGGAGCCCGACGAGCAGCTCGTGCAGAAGACCTGTCTGGAGATCCTGGGCACGCGGCTGGCGCAGATGCTGCGGTGGGACGACTCGCAGCAGGTGGAGCCGGGGCAACCCCTGTCGGTGTACGGATTGGACTCGCTGGCGGCGGTGGAGTTGCGCAACTGGATCAAGGCGGAAATGGGGGCGAACGTCAGTACGTTGGATATTGTGAACGCGGATAGCTTAGTGATGTTAGGGGGCAGAGTGGTGGCTAAGTTGCGGGCTGAGCGGGAGAGGGGGGTGGATCGATAGACGGATTTCCGTTTGCTTGTTTTATCTGATTATGCATGAATCCGAATACACGACTATTATCCTGCTCGCTTTGGGAATCGTAAACACTACTTGTACCATTACCCCCAGACCCCGGGTTACCGATCCAGAATGCGATGTCATCACCCCAACCCAGGCCAAGCAGCATCGAACCCCAGATCGAACCCCAACGACCAGTTCTCGTCCAAGAACGGCCACTGCACCATCTCGGACCCTAGCTGCTGCTCGACATAATCCGCAGTAGCCGTGCCAGTGCTGCCGGCCCCGGCGGAAGTCGGCACCTGCAAGACAATTCCCCCAGCAGCCACACCTCCACTTCCCCGCGCAGCTCTACTCCCACTACCACTACCACTACCACCGGAGTCAACCTCGACACGAGCATCGCCCTCCCCGCTCCTCGACCGAGCAGCAGAAATCTCCGGCCTCTCGACCCGAATATCCCCATACTCGTCCAACGTCCCCGCCAGGGTCAAATGATCCGGCCTCTCCATACTCGGTTCCGCCGCGGACGCCGCATTCGTCCCCGACAGACTCCCCGGCAGCTTGGCAGTGGAATAGAACCGGTTCGCTTCCTGGAGGGTGCGCCACTGCCGACATCCATTAGCCCATGCCCACCCCTACGACCACGCCCATGCCCATGCCACACCCACACCCCAAATCACAAGCATCACCAACAGAACCACCTACAGCCAAGACGGAGAAGCAAAGGGAAAGGGAGGAACGTACCCAACTATGCCCGACAACCCAATACCGACACAACCGCTCGAGGTAATCGAAGTTGCGCTTCTTCTCGTGCTCGGCGCGCGCGCGGCCGCCGGGGTACCGGGCCGGGACGACGGAGCCGTACATGTTGATGTGGGCGGCGACGAAGACGCTGTAGCCGGCGTAGGAGGTGATGACGGGGGTGCCGGAGGCGTCGAGGGCGGCGATGATGCTGCCGATGTGCTGGGCGGCGGTGAAGAGGTGGTCGAGGGCTTTGTCGGGGTCTGCTTCGGTTTGTAAAGCTGTGGTTGGGGCTGGGGCTGGCGGCTGGGTGGAGAGGAAGGCGTCGCGGTAGAGGAAGAGACGACTCATGAAATACACCAGGTTGATGTAGGCGAACAACTCCCCGTACCCCAGCGTGACGTGGGCCTGGGCGCTCGTCTCGGGGAACCGCACCGTGACGTCCTGCAACTCGCGCCACTCGTCCAGCTCCCCCTTGAGGGTCGTCCACATCCCCACGGAGTCGCCCCCGGCCCGCCCGCGACGGTTCTCGTTCGCGAACCGCAGGATCCGCACGAAGATGTCGAACCCGCGCGTCACGATGCTCAGCCCCCGATCGATCGTCAGTAATCCCTTCACCCGCGACGAGGACCCCTGTGTCATGTCCCTCGGCATCAGCCGGGTCGGACACACCCGTCCGAATGTGAAGTCTTGGTCGCTGATCGGCAGGGGCACCAGGATCTGTCGGAACGAGAGGGCAATGTGCTGCCGCGCGCCGGAGCTGAGTTCGCAGTCCTGCGCGAAGCAGCACCAATACGTGCGGACGAGCTGCTCGTAGGCGATTTGGGTCTGTGGGGCCGCGTGGAAGTCTTCGGGATTGTGCTCCATGCTGTCGTCGGCGGTTTTAAGGAGGGTTTGGAGCATGTAGGTTGCCATTCCTGGTGTTTACTTTAGTCAGAAGGTGAAAGGGGTGGGGTGGGGAGAAGGAGGTGCGTACCGCTGTACATCCACGCACGGTAGGGATGACCGGATCCCCATTCGTACAGCGAGAGCATGACCAGGGATTGCGCGAGGTAGAGCGAGGGTGCTTCGAAGGCGCGATGGGCCAGCTGCGTCCGCGCATAGGTGGCGTACGTCTCCTCGGGGGCGAGGTCATTGTCGCTCATGAACCGCACGCACAGCGAGAGGAGCGAGGCTAGAAAGACTGGGTCGACGGACGCGAGATCGTTGGATAGATCGGCGATGAGGGAGGGATAGTGCAGGAAGTTCACGACGGGGAAGCGCTTGCGGTAGATATCGCAGGCGTTGATCAGGGTGGCGGTCGAGAGGGTTGCGATGGGCGTGGCTGGTGTACTAGGCATGACAGGGCTGCTGAGCTCTGGCGCGACATCGGTCGCTCTGCTTGCGCGACGCAGCGTGCTACTGGTATACGGGGTGGTGGATTGGCGACTGCGAGGCGTACGTATCGCCGCGGGGGAGCGTGGGTCGGTGAGCACGCAGGTGTCGTCGCGGTTGAGGCGGTGACATCGACGACAAGGGGGTTGGCCATCGTGCACGCATTTTACTTTCGACCGGCTGATTTCATTAGTGATTGCGTAGCAGTACAATGGAGTGTGGTGATGGGTGGCCTACCGACAGCTGTCGCAGGAGATGGACAGGCGCATTGCGGAGACGATGCGATGAAAGAAAAGCCGAGGATCGGGAATGGCGGGATTTGGGCGGCTCGGAAATGATAGGGTTTGTTCTGCAGAGCCCGCACGGTGGAGCCCTCTCCGGTTTCTCCTTTCTTGCCTTTCTTTATCATTCCTGGATTTGTTTCGCTCTGGACCGGGCCGGGAATTGCGCTTGACTCGGTAGCCGTTGAGAATTTGGTTATGGACTGGAACTGATATCATCCTGACTCGTAAGGTGGTAAATTTCCTGCCTGAGGCAACTGCATTTGTATCGGAAGAAACTGTTCCGTGCTCCGTCAGCACCTCGTTTCTGAGGCAGAAATACCACGTGACCACGCGGACTGTCGAATCAAGCAAACAGTGCAAACACCCTGCATCGGGGTGTTTTCCGCAGCCGTTGTTGGAGTATCCTCGGCCATGTCTTTGATCACCCCAACACACCATGTTACGCTGCTTGAATTTGTCCGCATCACTGATGCCAATATGCATGCCACCTCAAATTCCAATCTCAGTTTCTCGGATCCAATGGCATCGAATCTTCCAACCGGGGTATTTCTCACGCGCAGGCTCCACAGTGGCCGGGAACCATCGCATGGAGTACAAGTGGATCAAAGGTGTGGAGAAACTCGAAAACTACCAGCCTGGGGGATATCATCCCATCATGATTGGCGACCTCTTACATGACCGATATCACATTGCCGACAAACTTGGATCTGGGGGCTATTCGACTGTTTGGCTTGCTCTAGACACCCATCTAAAGCGATATGTTGCCCTCAAGGTCAACGCCACAGACTCGCTTTCGAGTGAGACTGCTGTCCTCAAGGCTTTATCCGCTTCCCTCCCACCATCAGCAGCTGTGCATCCCGGACGTGGCTTAGTGCCTGTGCTTCTAGATGAATTCGAAGTGCAAGGTCCCAATGGAAACCACACGTGCTACACGGTGACCCCTGCTTGATGCAATCTGCGCGAGATCTCCTTCAGCCGTCTTTTCCCCCTCGATGTTGCGCGAGCTTTGGCGTATGGGCTTACGCTGGCTGTTGCATATACACACTCACAAGGCTATGTTCATGGAGGTTCGTCACGCTGTCACAGACTTTATTCCAATCCAATTGTCCTAGCAGACTAACATCGACAAACCACGAGATAGACATCCATCTTAACAACGTGCTCGTCAAACTGCCATCGACCTTCGATGACCTTTCCATCGCACAATTCCATGAGAAGTACGGTGAACCAGAGACAGTCCCTGTTACTCGATGCGACGGGGAGCCACTACCCCCTAACACCCCAGCCAAAGCAGTCATTCCGCTGTTCCTAGGCATATACGCAGAGCACTTCTCTATATCCGATGCCCAGCCCCTCCTCACTGACCTTGGCGAAGCATTCGCCCCGGCTTCAGAAGTACGTCTTGGGCAAGACTGCCATACGCCACCCGCGTTCCGGGCGCCAGAAGCCAAGTTCGAACCACAGAGTCCACTTGGCTACCCTTCGGACATTTGGAGTCTGTCTACCGCAATCTGGGAAATCGTCGGTATGAAGGCCATTTTCAGCACTGATATTATACCTGAGGATGAGATTGCGGCGCAGCAAGTTGATGTGCTGGGGCCTATGCCTGCAGATTGGTGGCGGCGTTGGAAGGGACGGTCGAGTTTCTTCGAGGCGGATGGTTGTCCTACGGAATCCTACAAGGGAAATCGATGGCCTGCGCTCCAGGAGTCATTTGAGGTGGGTGTGCAGAAATGGAGACGAAAGGTGGGAGACGAGATCGGCGAGGATGAGAAGACTGCGCTTCTGGATTTAATGCGTCGGATGCTGGCTTTTCGGCCGGAGGAGCGGTTGACCGTCGACGAGGTGCTGGAGTCAGAGTGGATGGTGAGATGGGCTTTGCCTGAGTATAAGCGGAGTCAACAGTGTGCGACCTGAGATGTGCCACTTTATGATGGTGTGGAGATTGATTGCTGGTCTCCAAGGTGAAGGTGAAGATGCGCGCTGGTCAATAACCTTGTCTGCTGTGTGGCGTCTGTGAAAGGCTCCCCCGTCACAGTTCAGAAGCCTGATAAGTTGTTGTGCCGTATATCAGTCGGACGGCTACACTCCCGGTTTCTGGAGAAGGTCGAAGGTACGAAAGTCATGAGTCGCTCAACTGGAAGAATGACCGAGAAATATTGTTGCGACAAGCACATAGCGGGCCGAGGGGGTAAGTTACAGTGGTTGTACTGCGGTTTGCTCCGGTTATATAAAGTTATAATAAGATTATATAAAGTTCTAACTAATTATAAGCTCTTTAAATCTAGAAATACTAATCTTTATATAAATAATAAATTATACTAAAATTATATCTTTTTTACTAGATTTAAAGTAGTTTTTATATTATTTATTATTATAATATATTTTAATCTTAGAATTATACTAATTATTATATTCTTTATTTATACTACTTATAATAATAATTTAAATTATTATTATAACTATTCTATTCTATAAACTAAGATATAAGTAAGTATAATCTTATTTAAATCTTACTAAAAATAGATATTATCTTATTAAAATCTTACTTTATTATTTATTTTTTTCTTAATATAATTTTTTTAATTTTTTATATATATAATTATTTATTAAAGGCTAAAATCTCTTCTTTATATAATATATCTTAATTTTTATATTTTTTATTATTTATTTTTTTATTTTTTATACTAATTTCTTTTTATCTTTTTATTCTCTATACTAATCTTTTTTTATTTTTTTATTTTTTTTATTAATTTTTTTTATTTTTTTATTCTCTATATTTATTTTTTTATTTTTTTAAATATATTCTAAAGTCTGTATTTTTAATATTTTTAATATCTATCTTTTTTTATCTGTAAGTAAAATAAGTAAAATTAAGTTTTAACTTTTATTTTAGCTTTAAAACTAAGATTTTAATATCTTTTTATAAGCACTTCTTAAAATTATAAAATAATATCCAGTAATTTTTTATAATATATAATAATCTTTTTTTTATTATAATATACAGTAATTTTTTATAATTTATAATAATTTTCTATAATATTTAGTAATATAATTAGATTATATAATAAGTTAATCTATTTATTAGCTATTTATAAAAAGCTTCTAAATAATATATATTTGAATAATAGTAATAAAAATAAAAATAAGTAAGTAATAGAACTTAATTTTAAAAAGAAATATATAAAATTATAGAAGATATTATATTTAATTTTGTATAAATTATAGCTTAACTGGCTGGAATTACTATTAATTAAATTATATTAGATTAAACTATAGAATAACTACTTAAAATATATAAAAAAAACATTTTACTAAAGATAATATAAAAATATCTGGTTTATAATAAAATAAATAAATAATAATAATTTTTAATATTTATTTTAAATAAATAAAGCTAAAATAAAACTGATTATTTTATTTATTTTTTATAAATAGTAAAATATATTAATAAAATAAATTATAAAAATATTTTCTTCCAGCAGAATATAAATAATAATAAAAAAAAGAAAATTATTTAGAAAATCTATGTTATCATAATAATAATATATTTATGCAGCTAAATTAACTAAAAAAAAACTATTATTTTTAGAACTGTTTACTTTAAAAATAAGTAAAATAATTAAAAATATTAAATATTATACTAATATAAAGAACTTTTATAAAAGATATAAATCTATATAAAACTAGAAAGTCAGATTATTATATTAAAAAAAAGAAAAAGATAAATATAAAAAAAATAATAATGAAACTATTAAATAATATAAAAAACTTAAAAACTGGAGTTTCTAAATTAGGTTTTAATAAGAATAAGTTTTAATAATAAACTAAAATCTTAAGTAAAAAAAATAACTATAATTCTTTAATAAAGTAAATATTTATAATTTTATTAAGCTATTTTAGCTAGCAGTAAGAATAAATTAAATATTAATTTTAAATAAATTAAAAAATCTTACTAAGATTGAAAAAATTATAGAAAAGATAAATAAAAATAAAAATAAAAATAATCTTAAAAAATTTACTAAAAGTTTCAGAAATAATATTTTTAAAATATTAAAATATTTACTTGTATCTAATTCCAAAGCTTTATTAATAATAAATCAAAAAATAATTTAATCAAAATTATTTTCGAAAAACTTAAAAAATAGAATAAATCCAGCAGTTTATTAATAATTTTAATTATTAAAAGAAATTATTTTAAAATCTGTTAAAATTTTAGAATTAAAGATTTAAAATATTTACATTTACCGGATATAATTATATCTATAATATTAAAATTCTAGTAATTTATTAAAATTTAGATTATTATTAAAATTATAATTAAAAAAATAATATAAAAAATATTATTAATAAATATAGTTAAACTAAAAATAATATAATAATCTATTAGTATTATTCTTATAGTAAATAATTTGAAAAATCTTAATATTAAATTTTTATAACTAATTTTTAGAAGTATATAATATATTTTTAAAAAAAAAACTAAGTTTAGAAATAAACTTGTTATAAAAAAATTAAAAAAACTAATTTTAATATTAATATTATTATACTTAATTTATTAATAGCAGACAAAGATTCTAAATATTATAAAATAATTAGTACTATATATATACTATAAAAAAATATAAAACTAAAAAAATATTAAATAAATTAATAATAAACTAACAGCTGACTATAAAATCTTTATTAAATAAAAATAATATCTAATAGTTATATTAAATAATTATAATATATTTAAAAACTGCTATAATATTTTAAATACTATAATCTAGTATATATATAAATATAAAAATAAGATTAAAAATAAAAAGAATAATTTAAAAAACTATTCTAATAATATTAAAAACTATATTAGGTTTATTATTCTAAATAAGGCTTATAATTTGTATAATAAAAGATTAGAAATATTTTAAACTATATAATAAACTAAAAATAATTTTAATTTTTTATTTATAATAATATCTTTTTTTATCAACTATAATAATAATTTTATTAGATATTTATAATTATTCTTTAAATAATATTTAATATTTAAGATAATAAGACCAGCAGTTATAAAAAAAATTTTAATTATATTTTTTAAATATTTATTATATAAATCTTATTTTTAGTAAAGTTTTTCTTAAAAGATATATTATTTATATAAATTTAAATAAAAAAATATAATTAATACAGTTTTGTATTTTTCTAAAATATTTAATAATCGAAAGAATTTTTATATTTATAATTTTATTTAAAAATAGCTAAATAATTAGTAAGAATATTTTTTCTGTAATATATAAAATATTTAATATAAAATTTAATTTTAAAAAATAAAAAGCTTATAAAACTTATTAAATTAAAAATTATATATTAGATATTTAACTAGTTAAAAAGAAAAAATTTATAATATTAATAGATTATAATATATTTTTATTAATTAGTTTTAGAAATTTTATAATTTAGTATAATTCTATTTAAGCCGATTTTTCTAGAAACAGATTTTTCTAAAAAAGTTAATTTATAAAAATAATATAAGCTAATATCTAAATAGATATAATATTTATAAAAATAAAAATAAATTAAAAATATTATTATTATTAAAATATTTTCTATATAGTCTGAATCTTAGCAGAAAAATAGAAATAATTTATAAATAAATATAAAATAACTAGTTATATTTATTTAAAAAGTATTAAATAATAAACTATATTAAAAATTCTGTATATATTAATATAGTTTAAAAAAAAGTTAATTATATAAATATAGTTTTAGAAAAAAAGTTTTATATTTTAATAATTTTATAAAAAACCAGATTTAATATAAAGATAATCTACGGTAGTCTAATAATAAGAAAAAAAGCTAATATTATTATATATTTTATAAAAAAGTCTAAAAAATATATAATTCTAATTATATTTTTTTAATTTAATTTAACTGGTTTTAATTTTTAAAAATTTTATTAAAATAGATATTTTTTTAGTATACTATTATTATACGCCTAAAAAAAACAGATTATAAAATATTTTTAGTAGTTATATTAAAAAAGGAATATTTATATTTTCAAATATTATATTTTTAGTATATTTTAAATAATCTTAAATAATTAGTTAAGTAATAAAGCTCTTTTTAATTTGATAATTAAATTATTAAAACTTTTAGTATTAATTTTAGATTCTGAAAAAAAAGATATTAGTATATTTGAAATTATTATAAAAAATAGTAAGATAATATATTTTAAATATAGAATATTTTCTGAAAAGAATAATATTGTTAATTCTAAATAATTTTTTAAAATTTTTATTTTTTTATTTAAAAATATGGATTTTAAAGACTCTAGAAATATTAAAAACTAAAATTTATATAAAAAAATAAAAAGAAATAATAAGACTAGAGTAAAGACTATTAATACTAAAAAAAATACTAATATTAAAAAAATACTACTACTAAAAACAAGACTGCTAATACTAGAGAAGAAAATATTAATAATATTAAAAAAACTACTACTATTAAAAAAAAGAATATTATTATTAAAAAAAAACTGCTAATATTAGAGAAAAAAATACCAATATTAAAAAAAATATGAAATAGATTATTGAAAATATATTTAAACAAGTTAGTTTTTCAAAAATATTTAAATCAGCTTAATCTATATTTTCTTTAATTTATTAATTTATTCAGATAGAAATATATTAATTTAATATATTTTTTTAATAAAAATAAGCTTTTAAAATATAGTAACTTATTATATATAAAATATATTTTGAATAAATATATATTTATAATATAAAAAATAAACTTATATTATAAAGTCTAAAAAGTTATATAGTTAGAAATATAAGATATAAAATAATATATAAAAATTAGAATTTAAATAATTTTCTGATATTAACTGAATATGTTTTAAATCTGATTTAATATACTAATAAATAGATTAAATTCTAAAAGAAAATAAATATTAAAAAAAATAGCCTAACTATTAGAATTTATTATATAATAAAATAAATATATCTTAGTTATTTTAATATTAGATTTTATATTAAGATTAGTTTAGATTTTAGATTATAATTATTAGTTATTATTATATATATAAGTAATTCTTGAGAGTTATAATATATATAAATATATAATTTTTAATAATATTTAGCTTAATAGTATATTATACTAATTAATTATAATAGTTAAAAAGAAAATCTGATTTAAAAAATATTTAAAATCAGCTAGTATTATAAAAAATAAAAAAATA